AGAGAACCAGTCAGAATGACTGAAGTGATGCCTAAACAAAACCTATGTCTTCGAGTGAAGACTATGAGAGCGAATCTTGTCCAGAGTCGGACAAGTCAGCTTTGCTTGTAGCCCAAGTAAAGTTGTCGTGTGAGTTTGAAATCTGACCATTGGAACACATGTCAGTTCCTTAGTGACCCAGGGTCATTTCGGACAAATCAGGTCGGGTTGCCAAGTGGCTATAAATAGCCCACCCCCCACAACCATAAACGGTTGGCTGCTTAGATTGAGAGTACGGATTTTGCCGTCTGAGAGCAACCAACCTCGAAGCTTTTGAGAGAGAATTCCTTGCGAGGATAAAGCCCTAACCACCCAGAGCTAGAGAGAATTGGGCATCACTTAAGTCTTCTTGTCTGTGTGATCTGAAGACTTATTACACTTGAGGACTGTGCATCCTCCAGCCGGTTAGGCGCCGCGTTCTGAGCATCCAAGAGACATTGTGGATTGCCGGTGAACGAAGTCTATGAAGGTTTGGGAGTCTACCTTGAAGACTTACCAGAGTGATTGGGGGAGGTCTGTGTGACCTTAGCTCAAGGGGAATACGGTGAGGACTGGGTGTCCTGAGCTGCGTGTTCAGGACTGGGTGTTCGGGACTGTGTGTCCTAAGGTTTAAATACCTAGCCGCCCCAACCAGACATACAGTTGTCATAGCAACTGGAACTGGTCCAGCAAAACATTGTCTTCAACGAGTCACTGGTTTCATCTTCCCTTCCCTTTACATACTATTGCTCCTTGTGAAGTCATTGTATGTTTGCACTATCTTTTGTCTTCACTGAGTGACTGCATGTTCTGTATGGCTTCATAATATCTTCCTACCTGATCCTTACTACATTGTTGCTATTAAGTCATTGTGCTTTCACTTCATTGAATACTTGACTATGGCTTGCCTAGTGTAGTCTACCTTCTGCTGCATGGTAATAGGTTTATTTCTATCGTTTGTCTTCATAACTTCCACGTTTTGAAGACTTTCATAAAAATTGCCTATTCACCCCCCCTCTAGTCGATATAACGCACTTTCACTAGCAGCCTATCTGCACAGGACCGAAGGTGAAATAAAGTCAAACTACATGAAAAAAAAGTATGATTAAGATGCATCTTACTATGTGTATAGGAATTCTAAAATGAGGTCCAAGCAGAACGTTTTTCCTTTTGGCTGTGAGTTCAGAGAATTTTTTCCCTCCAGTTTACCTTTGCTCTATTCGTTGGAACGAAATGAATGAATAATGTTGCTAAAGGAAAATTTTCCTAGTCTTATGTGCTTCCTCCACTTTCCTTATGAACCAACAAGCTCGAAATGCTTTTTTTTGTACTCTAAGAGCAGGGATAGAGTCCATAATACCATTATTAGCCAATTAGATCTCATTTCGGAGCAAAAATTTCTATCAGTATCCTATATAAAAGTGAAACTGCAAGAGAACAAACAACTAAGCCGCCGTACTTACTGTGATGCAGAAACTTTTCACCAAGCCACCACTGCAAAGGCCTTGACTTTCTTCTCGTGCTTTTTCTCACAAATGAGTGACATCTTATTCCTTCTTAAGAGCATCTCCAACAACAGACGCGCTAAATAAGCCGCGTGCCGAAAAAAAACTCGTGGGTTCCCAGGTATGCTTGGCTCAATAGATTGCATGGATTGGAGTCGGAAGAATTGTCCTACGGCATGGCGTGGACAATTCCACGACCAGAAAAAGGGTTCCACTAGAATCCCTGAAGTTGTGGCCGATCATGAGACTTGGATTTGACATGTTTTTTTTGGAATGCCTGGATCTTGCAATGACATCAATGTTCTTCAACGGTCACCACTCATGAATAGGATTGCAAATGGTGAAACTTCACCGGTGGAGTTTGTAGCAAATGGTCATACATATAACTATGGCTACTATCTTGCAGATGGCATCTATCCCAAGGTGGCAAACATTTGTGAAGTCGTTGAAGGCACCACAAGGTAAGAAAAATCTTGATTTCCACAATGCTCAAGCAGCGGCTAGGAAAGATGTGGAGATAGCTTTTGGGATTTTGCAAGCCTAATTTTCTATTGTGAGAGGACCGGCTAGATTTTGGGATCAAAAGATCCTTTGATACATCATGAACGCTTGTGTGATCATGCATAACATGATCATCGAGAATGAGCGTGGGCAAGATTTAGACTATTCTCAGTATGAGTTGATAGGACATCTCGTGCGAGTGCGAAGGAGGGCTGCGAGAGTGACCCTCTTTGTTGCCTCCTATCATGCCATTCGATGTGTCGAAATGCATGATGAGCTTCAAAAGGATCAAGTCGAGGAGTGGTGGTCATGAAATGGGCAACAAAACTAGTTTGATGTCGTATGTTTGTTGTATTGTTTATGAACTATTTGTTGTATTGAAGATAAATTATTTGTTTGAGTTGTAATAATAATTGAACTATTTATTGTTGATTTGTTTTATGTGTGTTTGATCTTCTTGGTTCTATGTTTGAGTGGGAAATGTTATTTGTGTTGGACGCACGCGTTAGAATTTAGTGCGCATGTTGGAGCGCTACCTGTGGCGCGCAATATTATAGCACTTCTGGTGAAGAAAAACACCAGCCCAACACGCTAAAACGTTATTTCAGTGCTGCAAATTTTTTTAACACCTCATACTACTGCGCCTCTGTTGGTGATGCTCTAATAAGGAATTGTTGCGGCAAGTATCCCTGCCTTGCTACGGAGCAACACCACCAAGGAGCCTACATGCACCTTGCAACACGCAAGTGTCACTATAAAAACCTACATAACTTTCCATCCCTAACCAATAAATCCCCCTTGATTTCAACTGGTGGGCTCCCTTTCCTAATTTCATCCAATCAAACAATACACATATGCCCGTGCGTTGAACGGGAGAAATATTTCTTTGCGAGACACAATGGAAGAGATAATTGATGTGTCCACCAAAAATGATCCTCATAGCGATGCGATAGAGAGATGAATTGTGGTCTTCTCACGGGTCAGGTTTGTCCCGTGAGATCTTGATAGTGGTGGGTTAGTTGGCGTGGCGGCAACCATCCAACTCGTGCCTTTTTTTCCCTCCGGGTCCGCCTCTGTCTCGGGGTTCCGTCTGCCTCCTTATTTGATAGCTATGCGGCGACCTTCGGGGCACGGTTGTTTCGACCACTCTCTCTTACGATGGCGTAACCGTCTGGATTACTTATTGTAGCACATAAATCCTGTTTCACTAGCATATTTAGTGCATAATCATACATCAATGTCCCTTCTAATTATTCTCTTTGATTATTTTAGTGCTCACGTGCCTGTAATTTTTTTATTCGAGCCAAACCAACATATTCTCTTTTATTGGCCCAAGGAAAAATTTGCTGCCTCAGTCGACCTAGTTGGAGAGTGCGGCTGAGGCCCAATACTGCTTGTGTGACAGAGCAATTTTTTTCTTGGACCAACTGCGTGAGGGCTACTATATGACGCTAGTTGCGTAAAATAGTGCATGGGACGCACATCAGTTCGTGTATGGACCAACACACTGGTAGACTACAAGACGACATGTGTTTGTAAAGCCCAAAAAAATTCTAAAAAAAATGATGAGTTGAAGGATCAAAATTATGCCCTCAAAGACCTGACTACGTGTTGCTAGCCACTTGATGAAAAGAATCCTACCAACCAATGGCCAGCTTAAACCTTTAAGATCATACTCCAATGTCAGATTGGAAACAATATTTTTTTCTTTTTTAAAAAAATTACTGAATATACTTGATTTTTTTTAAATCCCAAACATGTTTGTGAAATTCTTTACATTTTCACAAATACACAACAAAATATGTAACATTTGAAATTCACAATTTGTTTGAAAACAAGAACCTCCTAAAATAACATGAACATTTTTTGAATTTGTGGTATTTTTAAAACGGAAACATATTTTGAACTTGTAGAACAATTTTTCAAAATATGTTTCTTTAAACTCGGACATTATTCTAAATTTGTAACATTTCACTAAAACAAGAATATTTTTCGTATTTGGAACATTTTTAAATTACAATTATTTTTTTGTAAAATCTCGAACAACTTTGGAAAACACAAAGAAAAAATGGAAGATTTTTTTAAAAATGTGAACCAATTTTAGAATAAGAACAAAGATTTAATGTTCTGGACGTTTTACAATACGGAATATATTTTAAAATTCCAAACCTTTTAAAACATTCAATTTTTCTGATAATATGAACTTTTTTGAAAATTTTGAATTTAAGAAAAAAGGGAGAAAGAAAAATAAGCTTCAAAGGGAAAAATAAAAAAGAAACAAGAAAGAAAAAGAGGAAGAAATGAAAAAACAAAAATAGAAACACAACACAGACCAAAAAAGGGAAATGGTCCAGCCCCGTTTGTGCGCCCTGCGCGAATTTGCAACTATGTGACGCTCGTTGCGATAAATAGGGTGTTTTCCCACCTGCATGTGCATGAAAATAACTGGATGGCTTTGCTGGGCCATACTACAGGCGGCCCATGTACGAAATTCTGACGTTCTTTTCTTTTCTAATAGACGAAGGGACACTTATCCAATACCGCCTTGAATAGAGAAAAATCATTTAGATGATGAACGGATGAAAAAATTGAAGAAACGCATCTTGCTTTATTGATAGGTACTCTCTCCATTTTTTTAGTCTGTATATAAAATTTGGTCAAAGTCAAACTTTGTTAACTTTGACTAAATTTATAAAAATAAATATCAAGATTCACAATATGAAATCAATATTGTTAGATGCATCATGAAATTAATTTTTATACCATATAGCTTTAGTATTGTAGATATTGATATTTTTTGGTCAAATTTTACAAAATTTGACTTTGATCAAATCTTATACGCAGACTAAAAAGAAACAGAGGGAGTAGGTATAGATATATGTATAGGTAATATAGATATAGATATAGATATAGATCTGCTACGTAGGTGTAGCATTCCTCCTATAAAAATCCATGCTCATGCTTTGTACGCTGCCCATGCACCTATCGACCCACAACGCTTTACTGCTGGCGACAATGGGGATGCACGGCGGGACAAGCTGGCGCCGACGGACGCAAGAAGCCGTCGCCGTGGTGCTGGCTCTGGCAACACTAGGAGCTGTTGCTGCCGCCGTAGAGCAACACCAACATGAGACGACCTCCAAGGTTGCCGGCGGCAATGCCGCGGACGTCTCGTGGACGGAGGCGTCGGGCGTGAACGTCACCGCCATCTGCTCGTCCACGCCGTACCCGGGCGCGTGCCGGATGGCGCTGTCCTCGTCGGCGTCGCGGGCCGCCAAGGACCCGTTCGCGGCCTCCGTGCAGTTCGCCATGGCCCGGGCCGCGTCGGCGCGCGTGTTGGCGCTCAACCTCTCGTCCTCGCGCCGGAGCAGGGCCGTGCTGCCGCCCTCGGGCATGGACGACTGCGCCGAGCTGCTCGACATCAGCCACGGCCTGCTCGGCGACGCGCTCGGCGCCGGCTCCGCGCACGATGCGACCACGTGGCTCAGCGCCGCGCTCACGAACCAGGACACCTGCGCCGACAGCCTCGACGCCGTGCCGGCCTCCTCCGGGCGCGAGGGCGTGCGCCAGATGGTCGGCGCGCTCGCGGAATTCATCGGCACGGCGCTCGCGCTGCACGCCAGTCTCAAGGGCGGGAGCGCGACGCCGCCACCATCTGCCACGCCCACTCAGTCGTCGACGCCGTCGAACCGGGCATTCCCGTCCTGGGTCTCCGACCACGACAGGAAGCTCCTGGAGTCCGCGGCTGGCGGCATGACGCCGGACGCCGTGGTGGCACTGGACGGCAGCGGGACGCACCGTAGCATCGGCGAGGCGATCGCCGCGGTCACGGCAGCGGCAATGGCGCCGGTGGGCTCCTCCAAGGCGGGCGCCGGAGCAGCCAGGAAGGTGATCTACGTGAAGACCGGGCGGTACGAGGAGACCGTGCGGATCTCGAGAAGGCAGAGGAACGTGATGCTGATGGGCGACGGCAAGGGGAAGACGGTCATCGTCGGCCACAGGAGCGCCGCCGACGGCTACACCACCTACGCCTCCGCCACCGTCGGTACGTAGTAGTACGAAAGTAAAGCCCATGCATGCACATGCACGCCGCATCGTGATATCAAGGACAACTGCTACAAAAGCGACATATATTACTCCATCTTTTTCCCATCTTCAATTTGGTCACAACTTTCTTCTTGTCCTAGCTATGTTCTTGAAGAAGAAATTATTACGTACCCAACCATCATGGCAGCATCCATGCAAAAGATAAAAGTCCCAAAAATGGAGCAGCTGGCCACTACAGTCGCCTGTACCCTCCAAATATAAAAGGCAGAAGCAACCCAAATATCAAATATTGCCCATGCCAATACTTCCATTTGGTCACTAGATCCATACACTTTTCACCACTTTATATCATCCATCTCATCGCAATATGTACTATGTTGCACTATCAGTAGAAGATGGGCACTCATGTTTCAATTGCCGATGTCACTCACATGCATCTTTTCCGGTACTCGCTAACGCTTTTAATGTGGTCGTGTGTGCATGGCAGCTGCAATGGGCTCGGGCTTCATAGCAAAGGGCCTAACCATCATCAACGAGGCCGGGCCGGACAAGAGCCAGGCGGTGGCGCTGCGGGTCGGCGGCGACCTCTCCGTCGTGTACCAGTGCGACATCGAGGCATACCAGGACACCCTCCACACGCACTCCAACCGCCAGTTCTACACCGAGGACAACATCTCCGGCACGGTGGACTTCATCTTCGGCAACTCCGCGGTGGTCATCCAAAATTGTGACATCCGTCCCAGGAAGCGCCGGTCCGGCCAGAAGGACATGATCACGGCCCAGGGGCGGACTGACCGGAACCAGAACACCGGCATCTCCATCCACAAGTGTCGGATCGCCGCCGCCTCGGACCTAGGCGACACAAAGGTGTACCTGGGTCGTCCATGGAAGAAGTACTCACGGACCATCGTGATGGAGAGCTCTCTCGACCGTTCGATCGCCGCAGCCGGGTGGCTGGAGTGGTCAGGCCAGTTCGCGCTCAACACGTTGTACTACGGGGAGTATGGGAACAGTGGGCCTGGCGCGGGGACAAGCGGGCGGGTGAAGTGGGCCGGAGTGCACACGTCACTGTCCACGATGGACGCCACACGGTTCACGGTGAGGAATTTTATCTTGGGAGACTCGTGGTTGGGTGACACCGGAGTGAGCTACACTTCCGGGCTATGACTAAGATGGTGTCATGTTGTTTGTGCTCTGTTGATTAACTTGGAACATGGAACCAGATTACATCACTACTAGAAAAAGGGCTATAGATGGGATTGACACTAATGGCGCACCAGACAAGCGGTGCGTCATTAGTATATACTAATGGCGCACCACTTTCTGATACGCCATTAGAGCTGAAACTACTAATGGCGCACCTGGTCCAGGGTGCGCCATTAGTATAAAAAAAAATTTGAACTAGTGCGCCTGTCCAAACATACTAATGGCGGATCTAGACACAGTGCGCCATTACTAGTTGTAACTAGTAATGGCGCACCTGTCGGAAAGTGCGCCACTAATGTTGTTTTTTTATTATATTTTTTATTCTTTTTTTGCAAAACTATTAATGGCGCACTGTTCGACCGTGCGCCATTACTAGTTTAAACTAGTAATGGCGCATTGTGGAACAGTGCGCCATTAGTATGTTTTTTTTTGCAAAACTACTAATGCCGCACCACCAGAAGGTGCGCCATTAGTAACATGGATTACTAATGGCGCATTTAGAGTTGGTGCGCCATTAGTAAGTGGGCAGCAACAAGATATTTTGGACATCCATCCATCCATCCGACCCAACGCACCAACACTCTCTCTCTCTCTCTCTCTCTCTCTCTCGCTCGAACCCACCCAAACCCTCGGCGCCTCCTCTCTTCCCCTCGAACCCCTCTCTCCCTCGCCGCCGTCGCCACCCACGCCACCCGGTTCCGGCGAGCTCCGGCCGCGCGCAGCACGCCGGCGAGATCCCCTTGGTCCGCATCTGGCTTACCTCCATGCAGATCCGCGGCTCCCCCACTGGCTAGGGTTTTGCATCCCCTTTTGTTCGTCGGGATCCGCCATGGCAGGCCACGGCGAGGCCATAGGTGACCGGATCCAGCACTGGTAAGCCCCTCCCCCTCCTTCTTCGCCCACCATCTCCTCCTCACCTCACCTCATCTTCTCTTCCTTCTCTGCAGGTCGCCATGGGCGTGCCGATGACGACGGCAGGAGGGGCGCACCTCCGTGGGGCGGGACGCCGGCATGGAGATGGATTCCCTTGTCCGCCACCACGCAGCGACACCATGGAGCCTCCCAGCGCCCCAAACCCTAGCGGGGAGAGAGGAGCTGCTCCTAGTACAGCACGCCATGGAAGGGATTTTTTTGGTATTTTTGTTGTTGTTTCTCTTCCCGGTCTAATCATGTGGAAGGCCCTTTTCCTCACCATGATTTATTCATCTCCCCTTCCTCTGTTTTGTGCAGGTTGCTCTAATGGCAAAGCTTCTTCTGCAGGACACCCTCCACCCCTCCCCTGCATCCACCTCCTACCCCCATACATGGTGAGCTACAACCTCTCTTTCTAGCCCTTGCAAATCTGATCTGGAGTGGACATGAATTGCAATTGTCATGGACACTACATAACAGCAAGTATTGGTTCAGTTTTTGTGTGAAATTCGATTGTCATTGTGCTTTTTGATGCTTGCTTCAGAAAAATAAAATCATGGATAGATAGAAGATGGAAACAGTGAGCTTCCTTTCAAGTTAGCAATACTAAAAATCATTTGGCTCATCAATTTTTCATGTCTTGTGTTAAATCCACTCCATTGCAATCTGGCTATGTATGGATGGTTTGGTACAATTTGCCATGGATGAGTATAGTAGTTACGTACACATGTGCTCTGTAGTTTTAGTCCTTCTTGTGTTGCTGCACTTAGTCTAGAGATACAACAACATTAGTTAGGTCATGGATGGATGGATTAATACATTAGTTAGGGGATGGATGGATGGATCATTCCTATTTATTTGTGCTCTGTTTTCTTTATTAGCACGAGTTGCAAAATTAGTAGTGGGAAGTAAACTTTTGTTAACTTGTTGGTTGAACCAATGGAACTACTGTTATATTTGATTTGTTGCTCAACTAGTGCTGAAATGATGGGATCGAATGATTGCATGACCCTAATGTTGGCCTATCATTTCAATTATCTTGGTCTTATAGATGTTATTGTTCCTGTCATATAGCACATGCTAGTTTCTTTATTGGTTGGCTGCTGGTTCTGTTTGTTCATATGCATAAGTGCTACTATTTCTTTGTTATCTTATAAAGGATATAGTCCTTCATTTGTATATAGCCGTAACTCTCTTATTGATCAACATATACTGATTCATCTCTTTACTGCAATTACTCTGTGTACTTCATGATTTGCTCCTGTAGTGATATAAAATTATAGTTTCTCTTTCAAGCTGGTATCTGTGTTTGATATATACTAGTCTTTATCTAAATACCATGTATTGGTATTTCTTGTATGGTTTAGTACATCATCTACTGGTGGTTTAGTTGTATGTTGTACAGGACATAGTCCTGACGGTTGCATGTAGTGATAATTCTTTCTTTGCATTAGCTATTTCATATGTTTCAGATAATTTAGATGCATGCTTATACTCCTATCTACACCAGGTGCATGTGTTGTGCTTGTGTACCTATATATAGAATAGTACCCATGTGTAAGTGGGTGTATGTGTTCTGCTTATAGCAGATGTTTAGTAAATGTGCTATCAATGGCCTATTTCTTCTTGCAGGTTATGGACTATATCTTTCCTTGCCAATTCCCTCTCTCTTAAATCTGATTTGAACAGATGCTGCACTGGTCTCTTCACTTTCTTTCTTTCTCTCCTACTCTCACTGATAAGAACAGGTGCTCCTTAATCTTGCCATGCCAATGATGGTGTCCTGAGGCTCTCATCGTTACTTAAAGATGTTGCACTACTTGATCCAATGATGCAATAGTCCTAGCACTACTAGGCTGCCTGAGGACAATCCCTACTTCAAACCCTACCTCTGGGCTAGTTGATTAGTAGTGGGTTTGTTGGATTTCATCTGAAAACTAACCCAAGCTTAATTGAGGGATCCCCTAATCATGGAGTTAGTTCTAGTTTGAGTTGATCTTTGGGTTTGGCTTTGATCTATACTTTGCTGGCTCTACTTCTGTCTTTTGGGTTACTGGCTCCATTTATGCAGTGTTGGCTCTCTTCTACTGTTTCTTTGATCAACTTAATCTGATTGGGGTTTGACTAATGTTTCCAAACTCGTAAGTGCTAGCTCCTATAGCAAAGGCATTTTGCTAAGGGGAATGCTACATTTAAACCTTGATCAAGTTTTTCATGTTTGTTGTTTCTTGTTTTGCAGGTTGATGAACTGGAAGAAAGAAGCAGAAGATGAAGAACTAGATAGTTTAGTATAGGTTTAGTTTAGGACTTTTTCTAGATACGAGGGAGGGAGCATTGGAGGAACCGGATGAAGACGAGTTTCATCGTGATGATGCTCATCGTGATGACCGCAGCTCTCTTCTATGTGATGGTAGTTTAGATGATCGATATCGACTTGTAATGTGAAGACAAACTCGCTACTCGCGGTCTCGAGACTTGTAATATAATGTTCTATCTTTGTTCGGTCTTTTCAATTCGAAGACTAATATGATGAATTGTATTCGGAGACTAATATGATGAATTGTATTCAGAGACTAATCTTCTATTGTATTCGATGAATCTGTTGTTGATGTGTGCTGTCTATATTTTGTCCAATTATACATTTTGTAACCTGTGCAAAAAACAGAAAATAAAAAAATAAAAAAAACTTAATATTCATACTAATGGTGCATCACATCACAGTGCGCCATTAGTATGCCAAAGGATACTAATGGCGCATCATTAAACAGTGCGCCATTAGTATGCTGAAGTTACTAATGGCGCATCTTGTTGTTGTGCGCCATTAGTATGCCAAAGCACCTGGGTATACATGGCCCCCTGGGAGGCATACTAATGGCGCACTGTTGTATATACTAATGACGCATCTGAGGTGCGCCATTAGTATACCAGATACTAATGGCGCACATGTGGTGCGCCATTAGTAAAATATACTAATGGCGTGGCACTAATGACGCACCACTAATGCGCCATTAATGGTCAAATTAGGTGCGCCATTAGTAGGCCTTTTCCTAGTAGTGCATGATGTAAGGATTGGTAACAATAAGGTGTAATCTATGAGCTGCCAAGCTATTGTTGTGCATGTCCATACCGAAATCTTATTGAGGCTTGTTATTCACATAAAGAGTACATTTGAAATCTTTTGCTCACTGCATAAACGATGATGAACGTAACCAACAATCAAGCTACAACTATGATAGAAAGAACCGAAAAAGAAAGGCATGGTCAGCTTAATTACGCTTGTATAATTACCCTCACATGCCTCAACTCCTAACAAACAGCTGCTCTTGCATGATCAGCTCATCGGTTCGTCAGTTTGGAACTAACTCTCCCGAGAACGATCATTCTTGGGCAAGAAAATAGCAACAAAATACACCTTCAGGAGCTAGTGTAAAAAAACTACATTTTCAGAGGATTTTAAAACATAGCCCGAACTCTAGGGCTAATGCGCAACAGAAGACCTGCAATAGCAATGTGTAGGAGTTGTTTCAGCAAAACAATGATTAGATGTTCGACAAGAAATCTAAATGAGGGGGCTCACATGTCATTAACTACGCATGGCAAGTTGATTTACTAGACTTTAGCTACACGTAAGTCGCCTGAAAAACGAATTTGGGTTAGTCAATTTTAAGCCATTTTTTTCTGTTGTGTCTGCTATCATGTTTTGGGCCGAAATTTTTGACCGGCCATTTTTTGGGGTCAGTCGATTGCTTACTGTGCGGAAGCCCATTTCATGTTTTTATGGGCCGTTGATGCTTCCTATTCTTTCTACTGATTTTATGCCTTTTTCTTTTCTATTTCTGGGTCATTTTTAGATGTTGGATGAGTGCAAAATGTATACACACAAAGATAATATGAAATGCATATAAATTAAATTAGAGTGTGGAAGTTGCACGACTATATGTTTATTTCTTACATGGTAAATAAGTGCAAAGATGTGTGCAATTTTTTTTCATTTCCCATCTTCTTCAAAGAAAAAAGTTCATTATTGCTAATTTGTTATTATATTTTAG